CAGAGTCTACCACAATTCAGGAGGATTCTTTTATTTCTGATTCTTTTTGTTTGCCTGTTGCATCCTCTGATTGTGTAGGTAGAGACAATAAGTTTAGTTTAGCACCATTTAAAATTTTTGACCAATCAGATAATGATTGTTTTGATTTAAATTCATTATTAGTGAAGAAACATAATGATAATAGACCTTATCTTCCTATTAAGATTTTAGGACAATCTTGTTTAGCTCTTTTAGATAGTGGCTCGAACATTTCTGTGATAGGTTCACATTCATTAGCTCTACTGAAAAATGCTGAGATTTCTATTATGCCCATTTCTTCTCTGCAAGTGTCTACTGCAGATGGTACAGTTCAGTCTATTACAGGCAAATTTGAAACTGAAATCACAGTAGCAGATTTATGTAAACAAATTACACTCTATATTATTCCCTCAGTTCAGAATTCTATAATTTTAGGTATGGATTTCTTAAATGCTTTTAATAGCACTCTAAATTGTTCTAATTTTTCCTTTTCTATTTCTCAATTTAATCTGTCCTTACTTAGTGCTATTCAGGATTTTACTAGTTTATCTAGTTCCGAACAAAGGCAACTAGAGAATATGATCTCTAAATTTACAACTCTTTCGTCGAAAGACAAGTTAGGTCGTACATCCTTAATATCTCACACTATCGAGGTGGGAGATACCACACCTTTTAGACAATATCAATATCCTATTTCCCAGGCTTGGCAAGTTGACTTGGAAAAGGAAATTGATTCCATGTTAGAGTTGAATATCATTGAACCTTCCACGTCTTCTTACTGTAGTCCTTTGTGGTTAACCAAGAAAAAGGATGGATCTTTTAGGGTTTGCTTCGATGGTCGAAAGTTGAATAATATTACTACAAATCGGGATGCTTATCCTATTCCCCGAATAGACGTCATTCTCAGTAAACTTCAGAATGCTAGGTATATTTCTTCTATCGATCTATCTAAAGCCTTTTTACAAATTCCTTTGAGTGAGGAAAGTAAAAAGTATACAGCTTTTGCAGTTAGTGGGAAAGGATTATTTCAGTTTGTCACTATGCCTTTTGGTCTTGTTTCAGCTCCTCAGACAATGTGTCGTCTGATGGATTTAGTCATTGGTCCTCAGTTAGAACCCTATGTTTTTTATTATTTGGATGACATTTTGGTCGTTACTCCTGATTTTTCCCTTCATATGGAAATTTTGGATAAGTTGTTTTCACGTCTCAAAGAGGCTAATTTGACTATTAATTTAGATAAATGTCAGTTCTGTCGTCCAAGTCTTAAATTTTTAGGATATGTAGTCGATAGTAAAGGTTTAAGGACTGATCCTGATAAAGTTACAGCTATCAAGGATTTTCCTATACCTAAGACTACTACTCAAGTCCGTAGGATATTAGGCATGTGTGGATATTATCGTCGGTTTGTGCCGTCTTATTCTACTTTGTTATCCCCACTTACAGACCTCCTTAAAAATAGGAAAAAAGGCCAAACCATTACATGGACTTCAGAAGCCGATGATGCTTTCCGGCGTATAAAAGAAGCCCTTACTAGTGCTCCTGTCATGACGTCTCCGAATTTTAAAGAGCATTTCTATCTCATGACAGATTGTTCCAACACTGCTTCAGGTGGTGTACTATTTCAAATGAAGGATGGTTCGGAACATCCAATAGCTTATACCAGCAAAAAGCTCAATAAAGCACAGAAAAATTATTCCACCACAGAGAGAGAACTTCTTGCAATTATCCATGGTCTTGATGCCTTTCGGTACTATCTTGAGGGTCGTAAGTTTACTATCATCACAGATCATAGTTCTTTATTATGGTTACATTCCATGAAAACGTTTTGTCCCGTTGGATTTGTAGGCTTTCTGTTTTTGATTATAATATTGTTCATCGCAAAGCCAATGGTGTTGTGGTTGCAGACGCGTTGTCACGTACATTCGATATCAATCTTTTAGATCTGTCCACTTTATCTCCAGATAATTGGTATCGAAAGATGATTCATAATGTCACCCAAGAACGTACTAGGTATCCTGATTTCAAGGTGGAGAATAATATCCTCTATAAACATGTTATCAGTCCAGTTGAATCTCTATCGAATATGTCTGATTGGAAGATAGTAGTCCCAACAGCAAATAGGGATGAAGTCTTAAGAACTTTTCATGATGATGTGACATCAGGTCACTTTGGCTTTTATAAAACGTTTAGTAAAATAGCTGAGTTATATTACTGGCCTGGTTTGCACAACTCAGTTGAGAAATACATCTCTAGATGTAGAGTTTGTGCAACATGCAAGCCAAGCAACTTACCTCAAGCTGGACTAATGGGTTCGTTTAGGAACATTAATTTTCCGTGGCAAATGATCTCTTTAGACCTTATTGGACCGTATCCACGTAGTTATTTAGGTAACACATATTGTTTGGTAGTTGTAGACTACTTCACCAAATTTCCTTTAGTTTGTCCTCTGCGTAAGGCTACAACTCCAGCCATTTTGAAGTTCTTAGAGGAACAAGTGTTCTTACTATTTGGTATTCCCCAAATAGTATCTTGTGATAATGGTCCACAATTTGGTTCTAAAGCTTTTAAAGATCTATTAAGTAAATATAAGGTCCAAAAGATATTCTACAATGTAGCTTATCATCCGCAGGCTAACCACACTGAACGTGTAAATCGTAGAATTGTTACTGCTCTTCGATCTTACACTTACAGTGATCATAGAGCTTGGGATAAGTACATCCATTCAGTTGCTCAAGCCATTCGAACTTCTGTTCATGAAATCACTCAGTGTTCTCCAGCTTATGTTAATTTTGGTAGGCATGTTCCATTGTCAGGTGATTATTTTGGTTTAATTTCTGAAAATTCGACAACTCTTCCTCAAATTTCTGAGAAACTTCACCGTATGGAAGATCTCCAAAACCTACCTCCAATATTCGCTGACATTAGGAAGAAGTTAAAAGCTTCTTACCTTAGAAATCAGCATCAGTATAATTTGAGGAAACGAGATTTGCGATTTTTTGTGGGCGATCGAGTTTTGAAACGGAATTTTGTAAAATCAAATAAAGGTAATGCCATTTCTGCTAAATTTTGTCAGAAATATGTTCCCTGTACTGTCGTTAGGGTAATATCTCCTTTAGTATATGAATTAAAAGACAATTCGACAAATAGACGAATTGGTCAATTTCATATAAAGGATTTACTCCCTGATAATACAACAGATGAGGCAGCATCTTCATCTTCAGAGGAAGATTAACTTAATGTCTATTAAGTTAACTTATTCCTATGATTGTTATTGTTTTGGCTCGGTTTGGTTACGATTTGGGTATTTTCTTAGATTTTTGTTATTAATCACCAGATTTGGAATATCTACAGCTTATAATTTGATTAGTATTTATTTATAATAAATTAAATTTATTAAAGCCATTAGAGATTTTTACTTATATTAGGTGTTGCACTGGTATGGAACTAAATATTGTAATGCTACTGTACTGTGCTATATGTTTATGTGTTGTATCACTTTCTTCCCATTTTACTTACTTGTTTTGCCAGTTTGGAAAGAATGTTGTAATTTTTATGTATTTGGATTAAGTTTATTGGTCATGACTAGTTTATAATAACGTGTATCTCGATTTGCTATGTGGGATGTTTTTTTTTTTCAAAGTCAGTCATTAGGAATTTATATGGAAAATCAGTATGCATAATTTTAGTACATTCCTATATTATATAGACTATTCTGCCTGTGTATAGGTGAATGAATACGTGGGTTCGAAGTTTTAGTTCAATTAGTGGCCACAGTTGTTCAATGAATTTCGGAATTCACCATTTTCATGACAAGTTGTACAGTTATCTAGGCAGTAGAATGTCTTCCATTGTTAATGTTAATTAGGATTTAAATATTTATCTTAATATTTTAGCTCCTTAATATTTTATTAGCTCCTTAGCTCCTTAATATTTTCAGACTTTGGTCTAATAACTGAACTGTTCCTTAGCTGATTTATTATTCTTACTTATATAGTTTATTGGAGGAAGCAATCCATGACATATTCCCTTTACAGCTAGCAAGTTTAGATTACAGTTATGAATAGTATTTCATATTTTGGCAACAAATGACCATTTATAGTTATTTTCACTTCTTTCCTTAGGCACTTATTTATATTTTGGTATATTGAACAAGAAATTATCCTGTTCTCTTTTATTAATATCAGAACGACCTATAAATTTGCAGTTTCTTCAGAAATTGGTCTACTCGTTCTTGATGTTCTGTTTGTTATTACTTCTACCTTACTCTTACTATTTAGCTATGGTTGTTAGAGTTTACTGTCCCCTAGGTTTTTTTTTTTGAATAATGATTTTTTTGGTCTATAAATTTAACTAAAAAAAAATTCAATAACTTTTTTTTTTTAATATTTACTACATAAAGTCATACTAAAACTCACTCATCTGTTGATGTACCAACAGCCTCAGTAGATGTGGAATCAACAGTAGCATATGATTTGGAGCACTCTCCAGAAACAGGAACTTGTGACTCAGAACACTCTCCAGGAACAGAAACATGTGACTTGGAGCACTCTCCAGAAACAGGAGCATGTGATTCTGAGCTATTCCTCTGAACTTCTGATGCATTATCATATTCCACTACACTTTGCTGTTGTTGCTGTTGTAAAAACTGAAAGTCTGGTGGTATTTTTATTGCAGTAAATAATTTGTAGCACTGTGCGTGATAGACTTCATGTAATGAAGATTCTTTCGAAAGTTCAAGATTATCGTATCTTGTTCGGGATTTTCTGAAAACCGGTTTGCTTCGACGATATTCTAAAATATTTATACATTTTTGTAATGTGTCTAATGTAAATTTAATTGTTTTTTGCAAAGTAACTTCACCACAAAATACACACTTTATATTATTATCACTCATAGTAAATATTTATAAACTTAAATTCACCTTACTTATGTTAAAATCACAAAATGAGCAAAAACGTTGGAAATACGTTGTAAACAATATCATGCCACAAACGCGTTTGTGTGATCAGCTGTCATGGCGTCATGGCAACAGAAACCAGAGTGGGGACGGTATGAGAGATAGAGAAAGAGTGAGAGAGGAATAGAAACGCGGAGAGGGGAATATAGGCATCACGTAGCTGCACGTATTAAACTTTATCGATGAATTTTTATTACTTCGGCTTGTGGAAATCGTCAGATTATATATTTTTTGTAATTCTTCAATTATTCCCTTCAAAATAAAAAAAAATTAGCCACGCTCGAGAATGTCGAGATGACGTTTTTTTTTACAACTTTGTCGCCCTCCCCCTTCTTTGCGTCACTCTCAAATTGTCAGATTAGTGGAATATACACTCTTTAGCATGTAACTAACTCACCCTACCTTAATCTGACGCGCTCGAGAATTTCAGATGATCAATTTTTTTTTACTAATCTGATCCTTTATCCTTGACGGGCGGCCATATATATGGGGTTCATATTTGGTGGAAGTACTTAACTGGGTACAAGGATTCTCTCTGTATAATAATCTGCCGCGCTTTAGTAAATCCCGAAATCCCCGCTTGGGCTCCCCTACTACTTATTTTGTCAGCAATCAAAACGAGGAGTATCTTATTTTAAATTCCTAGCGGTTACCGCATTTATATTAATATACTCTTTTGAACGCATAACATTAATCGCCCGTGGTGTAGCGAGTAGTACGAAGGAATAGTAAATATTTGATCCGGGTTCAAATCCTACCTCGGGAAGACTTTTTCTTTAATTAAAAAAAAATATTAATTATAAATAATATTGTGAGAATAAATATTTAATAGAAAATAAAATATTAAAGTTAAAATGGAATTAAAAATAAAAAATTACAAATTGACGCAATAAAGTCATTGCATATGGTTTCGGTCTCGACTAAAGGTTCGGAACCATGCTAAGTTACGCGTTGGTCAGTAATGCAGATCCAATGCTTACCGACATTGGCGCCAGTGACGTCACACTGCCTGTCTGGTTACAGTGGCCCATACTCTACTGACTACTATAAAACCGACAACAATCATTATCGGGAGATCTTAATTAATGTAATGTCAAGATGGCAAGTTAATGCATCATACATAGTCAATGTCAACTAAGTACTAGTATATTTTAATTAATTAATATTGAAAGAGTCTACAGTAGTGTTTAAATAAATGGTCACGAATAAAGATCTTTACATAACATGTCACGAAGAAATAACTTTAGGACAATATTAATGTAAATTATGTGTATAACTAAATAAAAGACAAATAAATAGTTTTTGTTTTATATTTTTTTATTTAATATGTTGCTACGAATATTTACTAACATAAGGCATACTTATAAATAATGTAGATGATCTGTATAAAAAAAAATAAAAGACAAATAAATAGTATTTCTGTTCTATTAATTTTTATCACATTATGTTGGTACGAAAATTTGCTAACATAAAACATACAAATATTATTCGACTTCTCAATGATACTAAATTGCTCGACAAATACTTCAAAATCTTATATGCTTTGCCCAAACCAATTACTCTCTCAATATGTATTCTATTGGATGAATTTTTTTTTGAGTGACAAAGCTGGTAAGGCTCAAGCTGGCCAGATTTATTTTTCAAAAATTCTGGCATATTTACAGTCACATCTTTAGATGCTAAAAGTCTTGAATCTGAAAACCTCGATCTGCTAATACTATGTCATTTTTTTCAAGTATTTATATATATATATATATATTAATATATATATATATATATATATATATATATATATATATATTATATATATATATATATATATATATTTATATATATCGAAAACAAGCCCTAACTTTAAACACAGACATAAGCAGAGAAATTTCATGTCAAAACTCTTGGGAAAATTTCCAGCATGATTTACTGTGCAGTAATGGTTCTCTTCTAGCAAAAAAAACACTGTTTGATGGAATCAACACCTAAACCTGTCTCTCTAGTAGGTTCAGTTAATTTTATTCTTAGCAGTTGGTTAGTTGTTACCTATGATGAGAAAGAGTTCGCATGAGAAATTATGTTCATAGAAAATGAATATGTTGTCAGTAATGGTTCCAACTGGTCCACCAAATGATTTCAAATGGCCTCAACAACCCGACTGCATTTTCTACTCCAAGGAAGATGTATTACGGGAGATTGACCCTCCCATAGTTGTTAATAATAGGGGATTGTACAAATTTATTTCAGTTTAATGAGTATTGACATTTTATGTTTCTTTACAGTCAATAAAAACAACACTTTCTTTACAGCCAAATTAAACTGTTGTGTTCAAGTTGTGTGTATTTTAAACAATAAACTTGCATATCTAACACTTTCTTTACAGCCAAATTAAACTGTTGTGTTCGAGTTGTGTGTATTTTAAACAATAAACTTGCATATCTAACCAATAATATTAGTTTTTATTTGTCATATCTACCTTAGTTTACATGTTTGATGTAAAAGTCCTGTACGTGACGAATGAGTCCCGTACGTGATGGATGAGTCCTGTACGTGACGGATGAGTCCCGTACGTGACAAATGAGTCCCGTACGTGACAAATGAGTCTCGTACGTGACACAGACAAAAAAAATTGTGGCTTCACACACGAAAATTATGCTAAATACTATAATACGTATTTGAGCTGAAATATCACAATGAGTTTCTCCCTGCAAATAGGTGGTTGACTTGAGATGTCCCGTACGTGACAGCTCCTCTTTTTGATGATGGTTGTCAAGTAGTTAGGCCGGAAAAACGAAAATAGTTCATGATCGATTTCTTCCGCACGGATTCTCATGCCTTTAATATCATTAGTATAGCGTCAAGAATACTGACTTTCGTATCGTAGTTATTCTCTCTCTTTTCGATGATTTTGTACACCAATTCTGTCCGAAAGCATGCTTTAACTTATCACTCCTTGGTCGATGGGCGGCAGTACGGACGCACAATTTGGAGGCAGAAAAACGAGTTTAATTTGTTTTAATCTGTCAACTGGGGGTTGAACGGACAGTTGTCGACAATGGCAGCTAATTCAAAAAGTTTAACGTAGGTGGCGCTTGTATGGAGGTCACGTCAATTCAAATCAATTTATTTGTAAGTAAATATTGCGTTTATTTGGCTCGGTGAATTTAATTTGAGAAATTAAAATGCCTCAATGTTGTGTTGTGCCTTTGTGCTCATCCAGAACAGTAGGACACAGGTTTCCCAAAGATATTCTAATGAGAAAAAAGTGGATTCTAGCAATAAGAAGGGATACATATGTGCCGACAGTAAATGCACTTATCTGCAATAAACATTTTGTTGAAACATTACGTATTGCTCCTGGATTCGACTGTAAAAATCGTAAGTTGTTTATTTATTAAAGTACTTACTTTTTTGTGAACAATTTTTTTTTGTTTATTTTACAGCAAAGCCTAGACTCAAGAAGGATGTTATACCAAGCCAATTTAGCTGGACTGAAATGAAACGAGAATCAGCCAAGCAGAGAAACGAACGCATGATAAAACGTGCACTCAGAAATGAATCATCGCATTTATCATCCATCAGTTCAACGAACCCAATCCCAACAGAACCCTGCAATGAGGTTGAAATAGAGTCAACACCAATTGAAATAGACGACCATGAAGATCAACTTAGAGATAAATGTGGTGCATCAAATATGACTACGATACCACTTAATTCATTTTTTATTAAGAATTTGCAATGTGAGTCTAATTTGGAAGAACTCAAATTATGGCTTCGATAGCTCTCAACATTTTTGGCTGGTTTTTAATATCTTGGGCCCCGCAGTGAACCATCTCTTATATTATCCAACGGGATCTAAAACGAGTGTTCGTATATTAACTCCAGCAAATGAGTTTCTACTTACGGTTATTAAGTTACGGCGCAATATGATCAATAAAGAACTTTCATTTAAAATTGATTGAAGTGAGGAATTAGCCGTATATTTATCACATGGATTAACTTTCTTTATTGTCACTTTAGAGAACTTAACATCTGGGTACCACTTAACGTAGCTAAAGAAAATGCTAAGTTCAAAGGCCGGCAATGTACTAGTGCAGTCATCATAGATTGTACTTAGGTGAAGATAGATCTACCAAAAAATCCGGTATCACAGCAACTTACTTACTCAACACATAAATCGTGTAATACACTAAAAGTTTTAATTGGCATCTCGAGTACAGGAAGCATATCCTTTGTTTCCGATAGTTATGGAGGTTCCATTAGTTATAGAGTTTCCATTAGTTATAGATGTTTGTTGTCTAAATTACTTGAAAAAAATGACATAGTATTAGCAGATCGAGGTTTTCAGATTCACGACTTTTAGCATCTAAAGATGTGACTGTAAATATGCCAGAATTTTTGAAAAATAAATCTGGCCAGCTTGAGCCTTACCAGCTTTGTCACTCAAAAAAAAATTCATCCAATAGAATACATATTGAGAGAGTAATTGGTTTGGGCAAAGCATATAAGATTTTGAAGTATTTGTCGAGCAATTTAGTATCATTGAGAAGTCGAATAATATTTGTATGTTTTATGTTAGCAAATTTTCGTACCAACATAATGTGATAAAAATTAATAGAACAGAAATACTATTTATTTGTCTTTTATTTTTTTTTTATACAGATCATCTACATTATTTATAAGTATGCCTTATGTTAGTAAATATTCGTAGCAACATATTAAATAAAAAAATATAAAACAAAAACTATTTATTTGTCTTTTATTTAGTTATACAGATAATTTACATTAATATTGTCCTAAAGTTATTTCTTCGTGACATGTTATGTAAAGATCTTTTTCTACTCTCTTACTAGTAAATTGTATATTACCTACTATTTGGATGCTAAGTAAATGCATCATAACAGATACTGACACGTAATGACTAGCACGTAATAAAAAAAATTACGCTTCAGTTCTATAAAAATGTGTAATTATCACATACGCCTTGTAAGTCAGTTGGTCGAGTTACCATGGAAACGAATTAACAGGCGTTGTTTTGACAGGTTAAAAATTATTAATCTGTCAGTGTAAATATAGTGGTAATTTAATTTTTATTTTTATAAACAAAAATAATGGTAGAAAAAGTATAGTACACATCTTGAGTTGTAAGCTTATTACATGCTTGTAAAATTACTGCGCTCGCCGCTACACGGCTCGCGCGCAACTTTTTTACTCGCATGTAATAAGCTTCTTACAACTCTCGTTATGTAATATACTATTATTCGTGACCATTTATTTAAACACTACTGTAGACTCTTTCAATATTAATTAATTAAAATATAATAGTACTTAGTTGACATTGACTATGTATGATGCATTAACTTGCCATCTTGACATTACATTAATTAAGATCTCCCGATAATGATTGTTGTCGGTTTTATAGTAGTCAGTAGAGTATGGGCCACTGTAACCAGACAGGCAGTGTGACGTCACTGGCGCCAATGTCGGTAAGCATTGGATCTGCATTACTGACCAACGCGTAACTTAGCATGGTTCCGAACCTTTAGTCGAGACCGAAACCATATGCAATGACTTTATTGCGTCAATTTGTAATCTTTTATTTTTAATTCCATTTTAACTTTAATATTTTATTTTCTATTAAATATTTATTCTCACAATATTATTTATAATTAATATTTTTTTTTAATTAAAGAAAAAGTCTTCCCGAGGTCGGATTTGAACCCGGATCAAATATTTACTATTCCTTCGTACTACTCGCTACACCACGGGCGATTAATGTTATGCGTTCAAAAGAGTATATTAATATAAATGCGGTAACCGCTAGGAATTTAAAATAAGATACTCCTCGTTTTGATTGCTGACAAAATAAGTAGTAGGGGAGCCCAAGCGGGGATTTCGGGATTTACTAAAGCGCGGCAGATTATTATACAGAGAGAATCCTTGTACCCAGTTAAGTACTTCCACCAAATATGAACCCCATATATATGGCCGCCCGTCAAGGATAAAGGATCAGATTAGTAAAAAAAAATTGATCATCTGAAATTCTCGAGCGCGTCAGATTAAGGTAGGGTGAGTTAGTTACATGCTAAAGAGTGTATATTCCACTAATCTGACAATTTGAGAGTGACGCAAAGAAGGGGGAGGGCGACAAAGTTGTAAAAAAAACGTCATCTCGACATTCTCGAGCGTGGCTAAATTTTTTTTTATTTTGAAGGAAATAATTGAAGAATTACAAAAAATATATAATCTGACGATTTCCACAAGCCGAAGTAATAAAAATTCATCGATAAAGTTTAATACGTGCAGCTACGTGATGCCTATATTCCCCTCTCCGCGTTTCTATTCCTCTCTCACTCTTTCTCTATCTCTCATACCGTCCCCACTCTGGTTTCTGTTGCCATGACGCCATGACAGCTGATCACACAAACGCGTTTTGTGGCATGATATTGTTTACAACGTATTTCCAACGTTTTTGCTCATTTTGTGATTTTAACATAAGTAAGGTGAATTTAAGTTTATAAATATTTACTGTGAGTGATAATAATATAAAGTGTGTATTTTGTGGTGAAGCTACTTTGCAAAAAACAATTAAATTTACATTAGACACATTACAAAAATGTATAAATATTTTAGAATATCGTCGAAGCAAACCGGTTTTCAGAAAATCCCGAACAAGATACGATAATCTTGAACTTTCGAAAGAATCTTCATTACATGAAGTCTATCACGCACAGTGCTACAAATTATTTACTGCAATAAAAATACCACCAGACTTTCAGTATTTACAACAGCAACAACAGCAAAGTGTAGTGGAATATGATAATGCATCAGCAGTTCAGAGGAATAGCTCAGAATCACATGCTCCTGTTTCTGGAGAGTGCTCCAAGACACATGTTTCTGTTCCTGGAGAGTGTTCTGAGTCACAAGTTCCTGTTTCTGGAGAGTGCTCCAAATCATATGCTACTGTTGATTCCACATCTACTGAGGCTGTTGGTACATCAACAGATGAGTGAGTTTTAGTATGACTTTATGTAGTAAATATTAAAAAAAAAAAGTTATTGAATTTTTTTTTTAGTTAAATTTATAGACCAAAAAAATCATTATTCAAAAAAAAACCTAGGGGACATCCATTAATTATGTGAGCTCGAAATGGGGTCCAATAGAATCTCATTGAGTCTCACTTACACCGAGGGGAGAATAATTGAAAATCTGACGTCATTTAAAAAAAAAATAAATTATTACAAATATTAAAGAAAAATTATTTTAAATAACAGATGATATATGTCCAATTATATCAATCGAAAAAGTACATGAGTCTCCATGGATTGAGTGAAAAATTGAGAAATGTACTATTTTTACCTGTTTTTGCTTTAAATTTCATTTAATTTGAATAAATTATCTATAGTATACCGAAACGGTTATTTTCCCGAATAATAAAAAAAATTAGTTTAAATAATTTATAGCGTAAATCTCATTAAATGTCACCTAAGGGGGGAGGGGTCTAAAATGATCGAAAAATAGCTGACGTAATTAATGGGTGTTCCTTCATTATTTCTTGCGTCAACATAACTATTAATACCATTATAAAACATAAAACTGAATCTATTTCTTTTTGCAGAGCGGGAGAATACAGCAACATTCAAGTAGACTTGGAGGATTTCAATGATTCATTCAACACAGATAAGCCTGTCGCTCATAACGATTCAGCATCCCAAACTTGCTTCATTTGCGAAAAACAACGTAAACGGCATCATGGTCGTGAAGTTCGCTTAGCTATCAGTAGATTAAAAACTATAGAGAATGTCAAAAATGCGGCCACGGAACAAAATGATATATCGATGTTGGAAAAACTTAGTTCTTTCTCCGATGATTCCAAAATGCCTTACCATAAATGTTGCAAAGATCAATATTTACGAGAAATTTATACGGATGAAAATAGCGAATTTCTAAGAAAAAAAAAGATTTAAAATACTGCGTATACTATTATTTGTGATATGCTAGAAGAAAGAGTGGTCAAGAATAATGAATGCTTATTTTTTGACTACATAAAAAAAGAATATCAAAAATTGTTAGAACAGCAAAGCAGTTTATTGTCTGATTCTATTACTATTTCTTCGTTCTCAGACCGTCACTTAGAAAGAAAATTAATGGAAACATTTGACAAAAAAATTAAGATTATTTACGCTGAGAAGAAAAAGTTTATTGCTCCATTTTTCGCCACTATTTTGTCTTACAAGGATTTATTTAAAACGATGGCAGTAAAAGAAACAATTCGTTCAGTTGCAACACAACTTCGCGAAGAAGTCCTTAACTCAGCCAGAAGAGAATTGCCTGAAAATTGTACAGCTGAAGATTTGATGATGGGAGAGTGCGATAACGTGCCAGAGCTTCTTACTTATTTTTTGGAATCCTTCATTTGGGGCGATGTTTCTCATATATCCAACAAAGCACGTGAAAATAGAAAAAAAAGAACGAGCTTTCTATTTTTTCCATTGGACAAGATCTGATTTACGCAGCTTCTGCCCACAAAATTAAAACATCTAAGCACATTACCCTTGGTCTGGCAGTGAAAAGCCTATGTAACAGTAAGAAAGTTGTTAACATACTGTCAAAATATGGACATTGTTGCTCGTACACAACTCTAGAAGAGCTAGAGACTGAGCTGACATTTTCAACGGTAAATAGTGCTCACGTATGCCCTGAAGATATCCTACGTCGCCCGGATTTGAATACTGGTGTCGCATTCGACAATTTCGACCGCTTCGTAGAAACCCTAAATGGTAAAGATACTCTGCATGATACGGTGGGGATAATTTTTCAGGATATCGTGCAAAATCCGGATCCGGTGTCTGTGGAATCTTCTAGCCCTAGTGTACCTGAAAATTCAACAATCGAAGAGATTGAGCATGGTAGTTTTTCGAAATTATCCGTTACTACCACAAAAACAAAAAACCGAAAACGCAGGACTTTTGAAGAAGTTACTTTCGAAATGCATCCATTCACCAAGAAATTAAAAATTACCTCCTGGAGTCAGCTAGATATCTCAGAGCTTAATAAAGCTCCAGACAACTTGACTATGTCGAAACAGCTGGACATTACGTGGATGTTATTACATAAGTATAAAATATCGGACGCCCCAATGTGGGTTGGATTTCACAGCAAGATTTTGGTAGACGATTCACGAATTCAAAAAGTTTCATATCTAACTCCCATAAATGAATCTCCCACCAACAATTCAACTGTCTTGAAAACTCTAGAATTGAGTCAGGATATTGCAAATGAATGTCAAGCTCCCTATATCCAGATCACCTATGATCTAGCTATTGCTCGCACTAGTTATTGTATTCAAGCTCAAGAATCTCCACGATTTGACAATATTTTTATTCATTTAGGAGCCTTTCATATTGAAATGGCTTTTTTCAAGGCACTTGGCACTTTTATTGAAGATTGTGGACTGAGCAATATCATAACTGAGTGTGAATTGATCGCTAATGGTTCAGTTTCAGGTTTTATTAGCGGAAAAAATTACAATAGATGTAAACGGTTACATTCTCTCGTGGCATTGGCATTGCAGCAATTACATTTCGAAGCGTTTTTGGAAAACGAACAATTGACAGTTGGGGAATCAGTGTTAGAATATCTCACCTCATTTTTGGCTCATACAGACGTGTCTCCACAAGTTCAGCATACCGAAACACAACAACTCATTCAATCTTATGAGAAATATACAGAAGACACATTAGACGGCAAGCACGGAAAAACAGCGCAATTTTACGCAATGTACATCGATTTTGTAAATCTTTACCACTTATTCATTAAAAATATTAGAGTTGGAGATTTAGATTTGTACGTATATACCATTGCGAAAATCGACAGCTTATTCTTCTATTACAATCAACCCAACTACAGTCGATGGCTACTGTACTACCTTAATTTACTACAACACATAGATAACACACATCCAGGCCTCCGAACTGAAATGGCTAAAGGATCGTTTGGAATCAGAAGAACCATCAAGCCTTTTTCACGAATTCCTGTGGATTTAACGTTAGAACAAACGATAAATGGCGATGCTGCTCGTCGTCTTACTGGAATCGTTAACATCACAAATTCAATTGCTGCTAGACAACGCTGGGCTAAAAATCATGGGGCGCGAACAAGAATCATATCTCATGTACTTACTCGTGCAGGACTTGACAGAAACTACCATGATATTGCTGCTGATCTACACCCAGATAGAATGAAAAAACAACACATCCAAATTGAAGCTTTTTCAAACAGTGTCCTGCAGACCATTAATCCATTCTCTTTTTCGATTGATAAGGATCAGTTGTTTAACATTTCAACAGGGCAAGCTGCCCCTCCAGAAATTACAAACTGTTTGCTAAAGACAGTGTCTGGAGGAACTTTTCTGCGAGATCAATTCATAATGGAATGCAATTTAAATTCAGACAGATTTCACCAACCATTAAAAAAAAATACGGTGCTGACTTTTGCAAATCTCAAGAAGAAAAGAAAAATAAAAATTGGTGGAAAAGTGCACGAAGTTAAATTGCAGCGGGACTTATTTGGTCGGTTATTAGCTTTATCTCTTGACACGTCTATAGACCTAAAAAAAGTACTTTGTTTTCCTATAACTCCTATCCCGTTATCACTGTGCCATATAGATGGTTCTTTAAACAAGACTAATAAGTCAGTACTAATTCAGGAGTTAGAGAAACAAGTTGAAGATGTGGAGCAACCGCCATCCCAAATTGACCTTCTAATTGTAGATGGCTTCTTTTTTTTAAATACTTTTAAAGAAATGCCCCGTAGTTTTGGAGGTGTATCAAAGAAGATATTGCAATGCCTTATCAATAACACTGCAAGTAGAGTTGCTATTGTATTTGATCGCTACTTTACACCTTCAATCAAAGACTATGAGCATTCTCTTCGTGGCAGTGTAGATGACAAGGAATTCCACATCTCAGGTCCTCAACAAACAAGAACAGCAGATTTTACAAAAGATTTGAAAAATATAAAGTTTAAAGAAGCTATTGTCAAGTTTTTCATCGATCATTGGGCTGATCAGGAGATGGCAGCGATTATCGGTAGTAAGGTAATTTACATAATACATGATTTGTGTTATGAATATTCTGTTACTGATAATAAAGTAACACGCATCATTAATTATGAGTTGTCATGCCCTGATCACGAAGAAGCGGATACGAAGATAGCATTTCTTGCTTGCCAACAAAAAGAAGATTCTACTATTACTATCAGAACATCTGATACTGATATCGTAGTCATTATGTTGGCGAATATGGAACACCTGCAAGCAACAGTAGAAGTTTGGATGGATATTGGAGTTGGCAATGCACGCCGATATATCGACGTATCTGCTCTCTACAATAAATTAGGCCCAAAAATTTCGAAGACGCTTCCAGCTTTGCATGCGTTCACTGGTTGCGATTTTAACCCAGCATTTTACCGACGAGGGAAAAAGAAACCTTTACAAATTCTGATGAGTTCAGAAACTTTCCAACAAGCATTTCTGGATTTAGGATCAAAGGAGTATAATCTGCAGGATTCTTTAAACGTCATACAGTCTTTTACTTGCCACTTGTATGGGCTAAAAAAGTTAGACGATGTCAATCAAGCCAGGATTGTCATCTTCAATAAGACGTACAAGGTAAAGGACACATCACAACCCTTCTCCTTGAATATCCGGAATTACGATGCGTGCAACTTGCCACCCTGTCAATCGGAGTTACTCCAACAAGTGTTACGCACAAGATTCATTGCATGTATGTGGAGTAATGCCCATAATGCAAAAATTATTGATCTTTTACCAACGGACTATGGATGGAAAATAGTCGACGGAAAGTTCGAAATGATCTGGTTTGCAGGTGATCAATTGCCGAAAGCGTATGAAGATGTAGTCATAACACCTGATACTCTTGAGGATACTCCAGAATTAGGTATATTTTTTCCCCAATAATTATAAAGGTTATTCATAAAAAAAAATATTTGTAAGTATTTCAATGATTTCTTGTTACAGATACGCAATCTGAGGATGAAATCGAGCCAGAAGAAGAAGATGATTCTACCGATTAAGATGAAAATTAAAAAAAATACTCAAAAAAATTTCATTGTTTATAATTATTTTCTTGTAAATACAAGTATTGTACTTAAAAAAAAACATACGATTTTTTATTTGCATGCTATTTCCTGAGCTTTTCAATTAATTAAGTTCAATGATCTAAAAAAATTAAAAAAAAAACTTTAAATTATCAGATTAGGCGAACCCCCCCAGATAATCGTCAGATTATGAGACAGCAACATCTAGGGCTTATAGATGAACCATATATATCTTAATCTGACGCGCTTGAGTATTTCAAAATGGCGAATTTTTTTTGCACATTCTAATAACGGCCGCGAGTTCGCGTCACATCCAAATCGTCAGATTATTATATAAGAGCTTTTTATCAGGTTCACTTAACATCCCCTCAGAAAATCTGACGCGCTCGATTAAATTTTTTTTTGATTTTCAACCCTTACGTACGACCACCCCCATCATGGAAACAATCAGATTAACATACATACATTCTTAAAAATACGTAGGACATGGATGATATCAATATCTGACGCGCTCGAGTATGTCCATGCAACAGTTTTTTTTTACATTTTTGAAAATCTATAGCGGCTGCCCCCACCGATGAAAAGGTATATATTATATAAGATTTTTTTCTTTTTATCATCTAAGCTTCGCAATCCAATAGGTCTCTATGACGCTCGAGTAAATCCCGATTTAGCATCGTGGGCTCCCCTACTAAAGTGACTAGATAAATTATATTGAGATAAAAAAAATGTTAGCAGCTTAGATTCGCGAAATAAATCAGTGCAGTAACAACTTTATATTTTTTTATAAAAAATATCTATTATAATTATAAAAAGTTTATTATAATTATATATTATAAGTATATTA